AATCACAACAACAACTTACTTAAAAAAATGCACAACAATCTTACTTAACATTGAAAATCAAAACCAAAGTTCATTCGTTTAATTCAAATCCAAACAAAAAATAAGCCCCGTTTTTTCTCTGTTGCTATTTTTTGTTTATTTGTTCTATTTGTTTTTTACTTTTGTTATTTAATTAGTTGTTATCCTTTTTTTTTAAAAAAAAATTGTGACTTAAATGAAAAAAAAATACATTAACATTAACATTAATACATTCATAATTCAATTTACATATATTTAATTTTTTTTGTTAAGGCGGGCCAACCCGCGGCCCGCCAAGCCCGCCCCGCCAAAGCCCGCGGCCCGCGCGGGCTGGCCCGTTTAGGCCTGCTCCCCAGCGGGCCTCTAATATCTCAGCCCAACCCACTCTTTTGGCGGGGCGGGGTGGGCTGGCCCGCGGGCCCAGGCCCGTTTTGACATCTCTAGATGGGCGACAAGAGAGTGTACGGAGCTTGCATTTTGTGATTTAATGGCGAATGAAAAGATTAAAAAAAAAATACCCAAACTCCTTTCCTTACAAAATGATAAAATTTGTTTAGCTTACGATGAACCCACACCGACGCGAATACACACATTGCTCCAACCGGGAAGCTAGGACGGCGGTTTGAATTTGTGATTTTCGCGCGGAGATAAAAATTTAAAAGACTTGATTGGTAGAAGTCATATTAACAAGGTGCACATATTTTTTTATGCACCGAGTCAATAAGACCTCCAAAATTGAGCATGTTTGGCTTGAGAACAATATGGTGAGTGACCTTCTCATAAGTTTACTGGGAGCATGCAAGAGTAAAAAAGCAAGTTAGAAAGATTTGCATTGGTACAGTGATAACCACTGCCAAGACTGGAGCATGGACTCGGCACATATCTGTTCAACAGAACACTTTCTGCCGCACAAGATTTGCTATAAACTCAGTTAATTACAAATTTCTCTAACTCCAAATACATCTCAGGATATGTAAAGAGTATTACTCTCCAGCGATGAAGGAAACTCACCAACTTCAGAGGAGTTATACTTTCCGGATGGACAACATTAGACTTTCATTCCAAACTGGGTCGAGATTATTCTTATAACCCGTGTCTTCATGGACTGCATCAAAAGTTAAAAAGATCATTGCAAAAGCAATTGCATAAGAGCTTGGATCATTATAAATCTTTGAACAGATCACAGAAAACAAGCAAGGAAAAGAATTTAACTGATTTTCCAAGGTGAAAATGACGTATGGATCACTTGTCACCATATCACATATAGCTAAGTTGTTGCCCCTTACTACATTAACCTTAATCAATGCCTGTATATACAACACAATTCAACATGGAAAGAGTTATGCATCTACATCTCAAAATATAAAGGAAAATAAAAGGAATGAGACTTTTAGTACCATTGCTACAATAAGATGAAGTGACTTATTCACAATACATGTTCTAACAAAACTGATGCAGCTCGTAATTTCTCAAAAAAAAAAAGAAAAGGGCAAATTTTTATTCACGATACATGTTCTAACAAAAAAGAAAATGTAAGCAAAAGGAAAAAAAAAAAAAATGTTTGAAAAATTGTCATCAACAATCTCATACCTTATAAAATTTGTGCGTTCCTCGGCAGGGGAATCAGGTTTCGGTTTTTTGACATTATCGAGAATGTGAGCTTCGTATTTCAAGTTCACGGCAGTGTTTCCACCCATCCCGATTAAGGCATCAACTTACGCATGGGACCACTCATAGAGTTCAACTTTTAATACCTTTTGTCAAGCTTACATTTATATTTCTATAAAAGTGAAACAAAATCATAGTTTGGAAAGTTGATGAAAAAAATCTCCAACACATAGAAACAACAAAAATTAGTGAAGCAATATTGTTTCAGAGGATAGGAAGGGGCATAGCAGCACTAGAAAAAGCAGATCAGCTGAATAGCCAAAAAAAAGAACATATTATTTGTACATTATTTGCTTGTTTTTCCTATTGCAAAGAACTAGGGGATTTCTACTTCCTGATACTAAATTCACCTCTAAACTTAAACAAAAAGTTCAAGAACCAGTCGTCATACTGAGCCAACCAAGCTTAAGTTACACTAATCATCCTTCATCTTGTGCTTCAACTTAGTTGCACCCAGGCGCCAAATAACACTTTCCAATAACTTCCCCTTAGGAGCAGCAGATGAAAATGAAATTGAGCTGGCCAAAAGTTCCTGCAAAACAATGCACAAATCAAAGATTAGAGGCTTTAGAGATTTATAACTCTGTTCTCTCAAATTAAAGCAGCAAAAACGATTCGTTGTTACCCTTCGTAGGACGGCACACGCTGATTTCTTACAACGAACCACCTCCTTACACAAGGATGACCATATCTCTTTGAGGGATTCGCCTGAAAACTCACATAATCAATCAATTGATTCCTGTAATTATGTCGTTTGTTTCCATACTATAAAACACAAAAAGAAACGCACATACCGTTGGCGGTGGCTGGTGTGTATCTTGGGAACCTGAGAAAGGGGTGATTTATTGGAAAGGGGCAATCGAGGATCCCAATCGTGCACAGTAGCTTCAGGCAATCATCCTTCAGGTAACCATTGTCGGGGGATTCGAGAACGGACCTCTTGATGAATTGGGTCGAACCAGACTGTTGGCCGCGCCTGAGGCACCCAATCCCCAATCGAAGCTTGAACAGGTTGATACCCCAATCGACGCCGCCGTCGGCGGCCAACGCGTACATCCCGTGAAGAAACTGGACGCCGCTGTCGCTCTCGCTTCGCAGGGACAAGAATATGGACGCGTAGCCTTGACTCCGGGTTTCGGAGTCGCGGCCGTTGGGGTAGAAAACAATCGCCCAACGGTGGCCTCCCGCCATGAATTCTCTGCTCTGGACGGCCTGACCGGCGCCCAGCTGTGCTTTGTGGCGGGAGTAGTCCCTCAGCTCCCACATGTGGTGACTCTTGTGCAGCTTTCCGACTTCCTCTTCCATCACAGACTGCGTACCAATTTATTTCGCCTCCGCCACGACAATAATATATATAATATTTGGCGAAGAATTAATTTGTGGTAGCCTATTTTTTCTTGACATAGGTTTGGGACAAATGCTATTAATTCTGGTAATTGTAGGATTATAACCTAGTTCCAAAAACCTGATCGGCATCATTTCTTCGGAATTGTTATTTAATTTATTAATATTTTAAATATATATAATATTTTGTATATTTATAAAATAAATATATAAATGTAATTTTTGAATATATATATAGTGAATTTAAAACAATCAAATACTTAAACAAACTAACAATAACTTTATATATATTATATTTAAAATATATTAAAATTATTAAAAAAACAAATTCGGACCCATTCAAATCGGTTCGACCGATTGGTTTTCGGCTGGTTCTAACCATTTCAATCGGTCGTTGGCCAACTTTTGACCGCTTCGCTTGTCAATCAGTTCATTCTATCGAACCGGACCGGTATTTGACCGGTTCCTGATAACATTGAACCAATAAATATTTTTTACTTAATTTTAATTAATATTATACTCTTATATTTTTATTAATAGTTTAAAACTATTTTTAACTTATGAAAATTGAGTCAACTAATGGAGAAATTCATTGTTGTGGGTTTGCCTTTCCTACGGTTATTGGAAATAGCTGGCATACTTTTAGAGCGCCAGTTACCCTAAATATAAGCAATAGAAAATAATGTAAAAAAGGTCGGATGACTAGTTATTAAGGCAAATCAGCTCATATTATGTATCAGATAAGTCTATTTATAGTGAGAGAAAAAAATTCGTCTCTAATTACAATAAATGAGGAGTATTTTAATAACGTATGACCCTATTTACGAGGTTTGTACAGTAGCACTAAATAAGATTCGATGGCGACGTGCTACTTTGCAGGGGAGGGTCACTCCTAATGACCACAATTTGACAATACGACGAGTATGCATTTTGTCAACCATTAATGCGCTGGCGGAAGTCAGTATGTAGATAATTTAGGTCGACTTTCGAGAATTTTGGATTTCCGACAGTACGATTTTGACCCTGACTCTTGTTTATAGTCATTGTATAAGACACCATAGTTGAGAATTGCTTTCGTTAGAATTTAAAAATGAGTTATCATGCGAGGTATTAACACTGTTATCGCTTGTGTGGTTACCAATAAGTATTCTACATTTGAGTACATGATTAGCAAAGACAAAGTTCACGAATCATTCATCATAATGAACCAACCAAACTTAAGATGAGTGTTCTAAATCACTCTTCATCTTGTGCTTCAATCCATACGCCAAATAACACCTTCCAATATTGTCTCATTATGGAGGTCGAGGAAAATGAAATTGTGCGCCGGCCAAAATTTCCTGCAAATAAAACACACCATTTTCCAACACACTTGATAATTCAAACATTTTCCCTCAACCCACAAATTCCAACTCACATTTTTTCTTTATTTATTATTATTATTTTTTTCTACATTTTTACTTTGATCAAGCTTGAGGGTGAGGTCTTGTTTCGGAGAAGACTTGTGTTTCTAAGCTTTAATTTCCATCTTCAGTTTTGCTATCTTATGATATTTTTTCTAATAAACATGCATGTGTTCTACCTCAACTATGAGCTAAAAATCTTGTCTCAGTCAGGTGTCCCCAATCACTTGGATGAAAATCATAAGCCGGCTCGTCCTATCCCGATACGGTTGATGCCTCTTACTTTTGACACGTGTCTCAACGGGTTTAGCACCATGGGATCGAGAACTCCCGTGTCACATCACCTGTCAATGAATATCGTACGGATGATTCATTGGTGTGAATTGTGATGCGTATTAACTAAGGATCCCTTCGTGCTTGTCATCTCACTCCTGCTCATTCAAACTGCTTAAACAATGATACTAATTCATGTTTGTCTCATAATTATGGGTTGTTATACTTTTCCAATGCCTTTCGAATATTGGCTCGTATAATAGCTATCCTTTTAGTTTGCACTCTATCGGTTCGGTTGCCACCCCCGTACATATACTTGGAATTTTATTTATTTATTTTTTTTTTTGTAAATTATTTAGTATTATATGTGTGACACAAAATTGGTGGTCAAGCAATTTCAAGAAATACAAATCTTCTTTTTTTAAATGTTGGTCGAGGATTGATTGTGAACGAAGTCTTTCAAACAATGACAGTTATCGAAAAACTGTCTTCTTTGTGGAAGGACTTCAAGAACTATCACATGCATAAACACAAAGAGATGAAACTTGAAGATTTTAGACTTCAGAAAAAAATAATTGGAAATCCAAAGTATTGATCAAATAGAACGAAATAGAGGCTACGACAAATTTGACCGAGTCAAGCTCGAGTAAGAAGCATAATAACGCTTTTCATGGAATACCGAAATGGTATACCAGATGATATATTCGACAAGGCTCAAGGAAGTCTTGATTTTTACAGGCTTCTTTGCAAGTTGGGGATATGCTCTATCTAGGTCTGGAAATGGGCCGAGCCGCACTAGAGCTTAGAGTGCTCGAACTCGAGCTTAAACCCTTAATAAGCCTAGCGGCTCGACTCATTAAATAAAAGAGCCAAAAAAATTAAGCTCGAGTTCGACTCATTTATCACTATTAAAGAGCAAAAGTTGAGCCTTAATGAGCCGATCTTCAGATTCGAATTATAAGAAGTTGTATAAAAATTTTCTTTTCGAGTGATATCGAGCCAAACCGAGCCGCTCATTAACCAAACAAGCTTTAAATGAGCTTGAACTCGACTTGTTAAGGCCTCGAGCTCGAGCCTTAACAAGACCGAGCTCAAGGTCGAGTCGATTCGAGCCAGACTTATTTAATTTAACAGCACTTGTTCTATCACCCACATTTCCATTTGTGGGTGTTTTGCTAAGAGCATGCATGCCACATGTGACTGGTGAAGAAATCTTTTTGAAGAGTCGTGTGATGATTTTTATTTCTGGTGTTTGTTCTTTTGTTCTAAGTGATGTAAGGAAGCGTACGAATGAGACAAATAAACGAATACTCTATGAGTAAAACTCACAAGACTCAATCAATTCTTATTATCACTTCACCAAGTAATAATAAAGCATGAGAGTCCTTTATATAAGGCTCTCAAAACTAAAAAATTCCGAACTTGCTACACAAAAAAATAATAAATAAATAAATATTCCAACTATAAATATGGAAATGAGGAAATTATAATAAAAGGTTATAATTAATAAAGCTAAATATGCAGACGATCATATTTATCTATAAACATAATCGCAGTCTCCTCTCCATCATCATTCCTCGGTTGAGAAGGATTCGACCGTGAAGTTTGAACGACAATGTGATTTAGCTTGGCTAGCCACAAAATCCTCAGCTGATCGATTGGCACTTCTCCCCTCCTCAACTTGAGTTATTCGGACAACCCAAACAAATACTACGAAATCATGATTCAATAAATAGTATTTTTTTTTTGTTTTCGAGAAGTGAGTTGGAAAGCTCACCATCGTCAACAATGGCAACATCACACTTTCTGTCAGTAAACTGCCTCATCATATACAACAGTGTATCAACTCGTCTTCTGCGGATGTCTGAAATCCAAAAGCAACACCACCTTCAAGGGTTATGAAACATGGTTTAAAAGATGACAAAAGTTTTGTCAAAGTGGCTCCCTTCGAATTTTCTATACTGCACAACAAAGCCACTAAAAATCGGATTGAGTACAATGGTTATGATAGCAGCAGATCCAGTATCATCCTATGCTCCTGAAGGTTCCTCATCGAAAATTGGTGGACCATCATACAATGGCCGCCATCTTGCTCCCCGTCGAGTTCAGGGATGTCCATGCAAAACGAGCCTTCCCATCGATGGTCACCGCCACCTCCACGTCGCTGGTCGTCATCTTTCTAAAAAACTGCGTCTTGGTGCCGCACATCTTGCAGTTGTGGGGGGTAATAGTCTTAGGCTCGACGTGCGGAGGTTGATAATCGTCGAATGGGTTTACCTTCAAGATTGTCTCATTGCAGTCTTTGTCGCATGGACTGTGGTTGTGGAGATCCCCGGTGGGGCACCCTGCCTGGACACGACCTCCACTTTCTCCACGAACTCCCCCGCACACGCCCTAGTTGTCGGCGTCACGGTACGTTTGCTTGTCCCAAACTATGTTATGGTGAGTTAGACGTATGTCCCCGATCTTTACGGAGAAATCTGCAATACGACGACTCATCATCTCGAGCCGGCGGCCAAACCACTCGGTCCGGCATCTCAAGTTGTAGATGGCAGAGACACGCATGTCGTTTGGAGCATCTTGTCTTCGCGATAATATCGTGAATCGTATTGACTTCTGATGCCAACAAATGTAGGGAAACGTGCGAATGAGAAGGATAAATGAGATACTCTCTCGGTAAAACTCACAAAACTCAATCAATTCACCAAGTAACAATAAAGTATGAGAGTCTTTTATATAAGACTCTCAAAACTAAAAAACTCTAACTTGGTAAACACAAAAATACCAAATAATTAAATATTCTCTTACCAACTAGAAATAAGAAAAATAGAAAATTATAATAAAAGGCTATAATATGAGGCAATCATATTTATCTATAAACGCGGTAGCGGTCTCGTCTCCGTCACTAAGTATGTATTACATTTTGATTTAGCCTTAAAGTCGCATTGGCTTTTATCATTTCTGTTTTTTTCGAGTTTAACAACTCTAGAATCGTTTAAAAAAAAAAAAGAAAAAAAAAAAGAAGAAGAGTTGCAATTTAGACGTGTTGGCTTGTGATTAGCCGCACGAATTCGTCACGTGTATGATGCGAGCTCAGGGTTTTAGCTGATAGGGGTGTGAGTGTACGGAGCTCGGATTCTGTGCTTTAATGGCGAAATTAAAAGATTGAGAAAATTCCCAAACTCCTTTCCTTAGAAAATGATAAATTTTGTCTACTTTACACTACCGATGCACCGACGCACATACACACATTGCTGATTGCTCCAACCGGGAAGCCAGGCCGGCGGTTTGAATCGGCTTACAGAGTTGGCAGCCAAAACTTAGCTGGGCTGTAAGTTATTTACATATTGCATTCTCTTAAGAACCTTGGTAGGAAACTTAGCTTGGCTGTAAGTTATTTACATATTGCATTTCAACCTTTTCTCACTCAGATTTTGGTTTCACTGTTGTTATTGTTGTAGTTATAATCTAGGTTTCGTTGATTTCAGATAACAAAAGGAAGATGACGCCAGTCTCAGCTAAGCTCTATACAGGTATTCTCAGTGTGCCTTGCCGGAATCATTCTACCCACCGCAGACTTACATTTGCAAATAATATGTATATTTTTGTTCTGCCTTGAAATTATGGTTTCTTCATCTTAATTTCACAGAGAAATTAATTTTTGATTAGAGCTCTGTTTTTTAATTTTTGTAATGTCAAACTAGTAGTGGTGTATTTTCCTCAGGCACTTGCATTCTTGTATTCAACACTTTTGGTGAATCAGCAAAACCAAGTGGTTGCAATTGCAACTGGTCACCATTAATGTGACCGTGTTTTAATTCAGCTGCCACACAGTCTAAACCTGCGTGCAGAGCATTTGCTGCTGAATTTATCTAGAAAAATGGGTCAATATGTCTTGAGGATTCGGTAGATGGGACTGGGTCCTCACTTCTATCCGGATCCCTCTCGATGGCCTTATATTGTATTCTTCTCACAAAAACAAAAGGAGGAATTGAAAATAAATAAATACATAAATGGTTTCATTTTGTATCGTATTTCGTTTATGTGTAATTAATTTAACAACACCCCCCCGTTACTGATAGTTTTAGTTCATGTTTTTGTATTGGGCAAGAATTGTTATAGTTGACATGGGATGACTGAATAGACAGACATTCATCGGGTTTTTAGGTCAGGGCCACTTCACTCACAGCCTGGGGTCAGTGTGCTAATTGAATTATTAAAGCCATTTGATTGTTGTGTTCTTGTTATTGAGAAAGAAGCATTTAATAGTGAAAAGGGTTCTTATTGAATTTGAATATGTTTAAAGCTTCTTTTTTATTATTCATTGCTCCATATAGTTTCTAACTCTTGCTTCCTGCATTGATTATATAATCCCTTGTGTTTCAATGGTTATCTCTGAATTAATGCCTGTATTGGCAGATACTATGCTTACATGGGTCTCTGGATGGGCCTGGATAGTATGTAGCTTAGATTTATGCACCTTAATTCCTCCTACTCTCTCTCTTTCCTTTTCTTTTTCCTTCTTGTTCGATAAATATGCTGATATACTTGTGCAGATATGTAGCGGTCATGAATTCAATCTTTTCTGCTCAACATTCAATGGTAAAAAGTGGAACCGAAGAATTTTGTTAAAAAATGCAAAACTTGTCTTTCGGTTATATTATTTCCCCTAAACCTTATTATGAAATAGTCTGGTTCATAAACATCTGCCGATATAGTCATCTTTATTCTTCCTTCCCAGGTTCCTATAGATTCATGTGTGATCGGTAATCAAAATTCCATTTTCCTACAGCAGGTAGTATATGTTAATTAGTTAACCAATTTTGCTCCAGTTATAAATTTTTTATAATTTCATCTATCTCGAATGTCAATTGTAAATCTTTCGAACAGGGGTCTCACATAACTGAAGGCGTGTATGTCAAGCCTCAAGTGTTGGATGGTCTATTTCATATCCTTCAGTAGGAACTGTTACATATTGGTCAGAATGAAATTCTGGAATTTGTTTGTTTTTCATTTATCTTTTGAAGGAGCACATACTATACAGTTTTTCCCACTGTGTGAAAGATAGCGCATGTCTACTGTTAAACCTGAAAACTGTTTCTGTAGTATTTTTATGTTAACAAACAGAAAAAGGTCACATATTTGTCTTAATCTTTATTAGACAATACTCATGCACTGAAAATTAAGTCTATCCAATGTTATATGCTATCCACTTCAACTATAAAGAAAAAGGGAAAGACCTAGATTTTATTCTCTTGTCTGGAACTAAAGTGAGGTTGTTCTTCTCCAGAAAGTTAGTTTTTGCGACTGATTTGCATTATCGCGCCTTTTTTTACAACTTTGAAAGCATGCAGAGTTGACTTCGAGCCCCGTAAGTTTCTCCCATTTTGTGCCTACCTTTGTAATCATGGATCCTTGGTGGTATTTCTCCCATTTGTGTCCATGTAATCTAGCTTGTATTTTTTTTTTTTTTTTTTAAGCTTCGACGTTTTCTATTGTAATCTAATAGTTCAAGTGCATGTTTTCTGTATTGAGCAAGAATTGTTTTATATGATATGGGATGACTAAATAGAAATTCAGAGGGTTTTTTTAGGTCAGGAGACACAGGACCACTTCACCCACAGCTTTGGGTCAGTTTTTAAAGTCCATTTCTTGCTCTCTTGTTTCATGCATTGATTTTAGTGTTTCAAATCTCAGATTTAATACATGTATTGGCTGATACTATGTTTACATGGATCTCCTGATGGGCCTGGACAGTATGTAGCTTAGATTTATGCACCTTAATTCCACTTTCCTGCAGCAGCTAGTATATAAAATGTTGGGAAATGCTACTGTCCAGTTGCGGAATCATTCTGTGAGGTTTGTAACCGTTAGATCATCATGTGACCGTAGGGAATAATTGATCTAACGGTTGTAAACCCCGACAGAATGGTTACGTAATGGGACGTAACATCTCCCTAAAATGTTAATTAATTTGCCAGTTTTTCTTCAATCATAAATTATTTAGAATTTCATCTATTGGATGTCAACGTTGACTTTTTTGAACAGGCTTCGTAAATACTGGCGGAGTTTATGTTTTGTTTGTTTCAGTAGGAACTGTACAATTGATAGAGATTGATTATTATTATTATTATTATTATTATTATTATTATTATTATTATTATTATTATTA